ATATCCTTTTCTCTCTCTCTCTCTCTCTCTCTCTCTCATACACATTTTACAAAATGTTGGTGCGTGTGTGTATGTATGTGTGTCTACTGGTTGTACCTTACCATTGTATCTTATGTATGTATGTGTGTATATATCTCTCTCTTTCTCCCTCATCCACCAAAACCCACATCCACCTATCCTTTCCTTCTGTGTGCTTTAATACACGCGAGAGGTGAGATGTTATAAAGCGGAGTTAGCTTGGGTCTGAAGGATCGTGTTCGTCGGCTACCTTCGACGACAGGGCTTTATCGAGGTGAAAAAGGTTGCTCGACATCGACCTCTCCTCTCCTTCTTCTACCGCCATGAAGTGAACACCTTCTTCTCACCATTCCCCCTTTTTTACTTTCTTATTCTTGCTTTCTCTCTTTTTTTCCTTCTTCTTCCTCTTTTCCTCTTCAAATAGTTTTCACAAATGTTACCTCATACCTTTCTCGCTCTCTCTCTCTTTCTGTCATTTAAAAAAGAAAAAAAAGGAAGTAAAACAAAAAGTAGGATGAATTATTGGCTCAAACGATACGATCTTTTTTACGACTATAAGGTTTTTTTTTCTCTTTTTTCTTTTTTTTTAGTGTACATACACCATGTCGTAAATATCGATTACGATTCGAGGACATGCGTATTTTTACTTACTACTTTTGTGTAGTATAAACATCCCCCCTTCTCTCGACACAGTATTATTTATGTTCAGAGGTTAATATCTCCACGTGTTATTTCATAGTGATCGTTCGAAGAGATCAGTCGAACTTCGAAAGGAAGTTAGAATCTCAATCGTGTATGTGTGTATGTAAATAGATTACTCGTTAAAATTTTATTCGTTCGTGTAGATTTTCTAAAAAAAAAAAAAAAACAAACAAACAAACAAACAAAAGAAAAAAGAATTTTAATCACGCGCATACACCACACCCCTCGTCTTATGAATTTTATTTTCTATTTTTATGTAATTGTCAGTAGAACTAACAAAATAGTTAAACAATAAATTCATTCTAGTCTATAGGATCGTGTGAAAGTAAGTTTTCGTCGTATTCCAAGGGAAGTTAACACGACGGCAGCAATACAACGAGTTCTTTCTTTTTATTCGCGAAAGGTCAGACCCGGAGGAAGGAAGACGATCAATCTTGATCCCAATTATCGCGTCGTTCAGTTCCCGTAATTGAGTCGGTCTCTCAGACCCTTCCCACTTCTTTCTAACGTTCGGAAAGCCAAAACAATGACGATCCGGATAGGAGATGTTTCTTCGACTTCCTTCTTTTTCTTCTTCTTCTTCCTCTTCCTTCTCTTGGTGAAGGAAAGAAAAGAAAATAAGAGAAGAGGAAAAGAAAAAAATTAGAGAAAGATTGAAAAGTGTTTTTTACCATTGACATATACCTCCTTCTCGTTTGTTTCTTACCAATAATTTATCAACGTGAGAGAGAGAGAGAAAAATACGATTTCTCATTGAAAAATAATTCTCAAAATCGTACTAAATGTGTTCCTCTTCTGTTATGTAATATAAAAAACATAAAAATTAAACTAATTGTTTTTTTATCTTATTATTATTATTATTATTAATAATCTTGTTTATCATTTTGCTTTAAACGATTATAATAATGTTACATTCTTTCTAGATATGTTTTTTTCTGTGTTATATTATTTGTAATCTTTTTTTTCGAGCTATTTGTGACACGCTATGATCGATAAGGAATTTTCTAATATTATTTTTCGAGATTCTAGGAAAACGAGACAGGAAATATATGATAGATGGTCCTCGGGCGATCCTATCGTTTGAGATCCTCGATTTGTCATCGATCAAAGTTTCGAAGCTGAAGCAACAGGATTACGTGCGTAACGTTGGTAGATGTTAACGGTTCTACTATACGTATATATATAACCGTATATCTATATATATAGTTGATACTGTTTCCACGTAAATTCATCCGCACGACATCGGCACCTAATTAGCACTAAAACCTAGGATGCGTCAAACATCTCGCGTTCGTGGAAGTGCTGCTTGCCTCCGTTTCTCTTGTCATGTGCGAGAATCTTCTCTATGTATCTCTCTCTCTCTCTCTCTCTCTCTCTCTCTTTTACAATTAGTTAAGCGAGGACAAACCGCATTGAGGCAAGTAGAGATTAAGCGACATAGTAGCATCGCATTTGCGTCAACATCGATGTTGAAACAAGAGAAATAGATAGATAAAGAGAAAGATAGAAAGAGAGGGAGAGAGAGATCAACTCTTCTCAATAGTTTGAAACTTTCTACAGCTTTACTAGACATTATTTCTGGAAACTCTCGAATGTGCTTAATTAGTCGATATTTGAGTACTTCTCCCACAATCCCCTTCTCTCCCTTTTCTTCTTCTTTACAGAAGCGTGAGAGTTTACGCTAGTAAGCTGCTATTACCAAAAGCCACTGGATTTTCGTAAGAAAGCACGAACAGTAAGAGAGAAAGAGAGAGAAAGAGAGAGAAAGAGAGAGGGGATTGGTTGGTGGTGTGTTGGTAACGCTAGTGCGGTCGGCTTCCACCCCTATATAGACATCTTACCTGAACTAATATTGTTAAGGTCTAATTAGTACCACCACGACACCCACCGATCCTTCTCCCCCTCCTCTGTCTTCTTCTCCTTCTCCTCCTTCCTTCCTTCCTTTCCCCTACCATACCATCTTCTTCCTTTTCATACTACCTCAGCTAGAACTCCTTCTTCTCTTCTCTTCCCTTCTCTTCTGTTCTCTTCACTTCACTACACTTCACTTCTCTTCTCTTCTCTTCTCTTCTCTTCTCTCCCTTTCCTCTAGCACTTCCGTATTCCGACCTTGCAACACTGCTGGCAACAGCACAACACCAGCCGCAACTCACCCTTAAACCGTGTTACACTTCGCTCCGACGCTCGAGTTATGAGCGAGCTACCACCAGCTACACAGAGAGCAAAGATCTTTGCGTACTAGCTATATTATGAGCCACTTGTACTCGAGTATGTTTCGTTTATGGATAAATTCGAAATGAAGGGACCTGCACACTTGTGTGTGTGTATGTCTATATATATATACGATGATAACAATGCTGCGTAACACAACTTCTCTTAACGTTTACCCCTCGCATTTCTCTATTACGATATTACTTTAGATTACTAATGCTAATGTTACATTTTGTTTCATTATCTATTCTCTATTATATTTTCTATTTTATTTTCTATGAAATTGTTTCTATTCGATGTTAATATTTTATACATTTTTTATATAAACTTGTACATTTATTATATTTATTATAGATTTTTATTATGTATATATATGTTTATAATTTGATTAGGTTTTGTTGTTAAAATATTTTCTAATAAAATATTTTAATCAATTACGCGAATGGAATAATAAATTTGCGAATATTGGGTCGCGTTACACGAAGTATTTTTACCTATCAACTTTGAAAATTCCTTTCCGTTGTAGATAAATTTCAAATAAGTGTAAACGCGTTCACGTTTATAACTGTACATGTGAAAATATTTTAAGAGTAGAAAAGAGGATAGCCCTGTTTGGGATAAAAGTCCTTTTAATTGAAGTACCAATTTAATCATAATTAACCCGACGTTCTTAACGTTTTCGTACATTTATAAATTATCGAATAAATTATTAAAACTTTTTATGTTTTTGCTATATACTCTTTCTCTCATTCCATCCGTTATATGTTTGTTTCTACTCGATAATAAAGTAGCAAAAGGTGTGTTTTATTTAACAGTAAATGTACAAAGTTATGTGCACTCTTCTCCTTTATTACCTAACTATTAACGATTATTTCTCGGGGTTAGGTTATTTTTGTTTTATTTTTTTTTTTCATTTCTACTTTTTTCTTCTCTCTTTTCTTTTTTATTTTTATAACATTCGAATTGTTTCTGATTATCGTTATTGGTATTTATAACTTATAGCTTGACAGTAAATGTATCGTTTTACGTCCTATCGATTATTAACCATTCCATTTATTTCAATTACCTGTCTTCGTTATATTGCTATCTGTATTATTACAAAAAAAAAAAAACAAATAGTTCTAAACTATTAATAGGATCGTTATACTAGGTTTTCCATTGTTATATGTAAAAGCATCTTAAAAGATAAAAGATGTAGTTCACTAGAAATATAGCTCGTTAAGGAATTCAAAATTGATATAAGATAAATGATGAAATGTAAGTGAAATGATAGACTTAACAAGTAGATCGTATATAAAAAGGTTTTTTCGATAGAATCGTTTGTACGAAATTGGAGCTTGAAAACGAGTAGCCGAGTAAATTCAAGTAAAGTAAAGTAAAGTCAAGTCAAGTCAAGTAGGGTATAGAAACCCGAGAACGAGGATATTAAACTAAGAAAGTTGACATTTCCTTTGACCCGAGCTTGTCACCGAGTGACATCGGCTTTAATTAATTTGTAAAACATATACATTTATCTTTTGAAAATAACATTCGATGGTGTGGCTGACTGCAACCCCTGTATCTTTACATACACGAACGAATACCTCCTACCTTTCTCTTCCTTCCTTCCTTTCTCCTACTCTCTTACTTATGTACTTATGTGTTAGTAGGTAGAGAAACAGCTGACTACGATAAATTTCAGGCACAGACGTTACGCCAAGAGTATTTCTTCCGGCAGCATTTTCGCAGAAACTATGTATTTCATGGACTATGGTCTTCTTTTTCCTATTGCAGCGCGAGCAAGTAGAGCGTAGAATTTTACTGAAAAAGATATTGCTCTAGCACACGAGTTACCCTTGTTCAGCATTTACAGCATTTCACAAATTTATGATATTAAATACATACTTTTTAATATAACACACATACGCGTAATTGAATTGAATTTTAAATCGACCGAACTCTTGCCGACTAATCTTGGTTTAAGTATTCACGAAATTTTTGAAACTACCTCTAATTAAATATATATATGTTTATACATTAATTTGATTAACTGAATTGATTTATTGATTTGTTGTTTTTCTTTTTTCCAGGGCCGATGTAATCGAGAAAAGCCACCCTGCAAATACTTCCACCCACCTCAACACCTGAAGGACCAGCTTTTGATAAACGGACGCAATCACTTAGCCCTGAAAAACGCGCTTATGCAACAAATGGGCCTAACGCCTGGTCAACCTTTAGTGCCTGGCCAGGTACCAGCAGTGGTATGTCAAATAATTAATTTACCAATCGTTGCACCAAGTCTTCTGCTCTGTTCACACATCCACATATATTATATAATAATATCTCATCACGATCAAAAAGTTTTCATTTTGTCTGTGTTAGTCGAGGTTTACCACTAGATACCTTTTTGGTAGGCAACGCTGTGTTGATCGTGAACGGTACGGTTAAAAAAGAAAAAAAAAAAAAAAAAAGGAAAGAAGAAGTAATCAGAAAAGAAAAATCAAATTTAATTCATCTTCAGATATTTCGTTTGATATTATATTTATTTAAATTGACATTTGTAATTATTTTTCTTTTTTTTTTTTTTATGTTCCGTTTTCTTTTGAAACTAGTTGTTCATTTTGTTAGTTTTCTTTCACGAGAATATTTTGACAAAACCTTTACCGTTCAGGTTCACTTGCGTTCGTTTTTCTGCGGGCATTGCACCGAGAGATGAATTCCTAAGAGTAAAATTTAGCACGCCGCATGTTTTTGGTCAGTGTCGTCCCCACTTCCTAGGAGCCTGATATATCCACGTATTTTCGATAGACAGTCGACATATATATTTATATCGTAAGATTTTACGTAATAAACATATTTTTCAATCGTATCATATTATATATTCACGCGCGGGATAGAAATTCAATTTATCAAAAAAAAAAAAAAAGAAAATAGAAAAAAAATTATTGTAGTAGTAATTATAATCTGTCTCTCTCGCATGCTCGCACGTAGAGGTGCGTGCATTGATTCATGTCGGGAAAACGTCATTTCTATATATCTATATATATATATACATATATAATATATTTTTTCTCTTTTTTTTTTTTCTTACAAACACTTACTTAGATTCTTTTCTTACTTCAATGTTTTTTAATCATTTTATTTCATATCTTATATATGTATATTCCAATGTATTTATACTTTTTATCTAAATGTTTACTTTTTATTCTATATTACATGTTTTACCTTACATCAAAGTTCAAAATACAACAAAATATTTATATATATATATACATATATATCGCATTAGTCATGTGTATGTATATGTGTATATACATCTATATATATATACATATTTTTAATAATCTATCTTTTTCTAATACATACATGCATACATACATATATATATATATATATATTTATATGTATATGTATATACATATATATTTATAAATACATAAAAAAAAAATCCCACCCGCTTTTTATATCATGACATACATTCATAGTCGATGCTATGTGACATCGAACCCTATACTACTCGTATGACTGCCTGTCTGTCCCCTATGTTTGCCGCTGTGGCTCACGTGGTTGTGGTTGATTGTTGGTGTGTTCTCCAATTACGTCATTGGTGAACAGGAGGCCCCGGCACCTCCGGCACCACACCATCACCTTCAACAGCAAATCCAGCAGCAACTTCTCGCTACCCACGCCTTTATGGTAACTCCTGGTTTTGGTTGGCTTCCACTAATTTTTTAGTTAATTAAACGTCGCTTAGAGAAGTACGACGATGAGAGAAGTACGAGAATAAAGTAACTCTTAATTTCTAATTAAAGGGTTTGCTAYGATCCTCTTCTTCTTCTTCCCTTATAAGGGATTAGAAACTACTAGTAGTAGTAGTAGTATTACTACCACCATTATTGTAAAAGGGTTTTCTCGTCCTCGTACGTATCTCGCGACAATGTTGCCTGTTACTAGTAAGCGTTTTGTACGAAAGCTTTAACTTTGTTTTAAAAGAACGCGCCGCACCGTAAGTTCGAAGAGAATTTTATTTGCATGCCTCACAAGACCGAGAGATGTTGGTTTGTTTATCCGAGAGAGAAAGAAACTATTCTTTTTTTTTCCTCTACGAACAACTTTTAATACAACTTTTTCTTTTAGAGATATAAATAAGAAAAAAAAAAACGAAAAAAGAAAAAAACGCATGCATATCGCGCGGTCTTATCTCTCTCTCTCTCTCTATCTCTATTTCTCTCTCACTTTCTCTCTATTTTTCTCTCTCTCTATTTCTCTCTCTCTCTTTCTATCTTTCTCTCTTTCTCTCTCACTCTCTCTTTCGACTCTACGAGATTTTGCCCGTGTTACCTCGCACTTTTCACTTATTCTTTTTTACTTCTTCTTATTTTCTTTTTTTAGTTGTTGTTTTTTCTTATGTTTGTTTTTGGTTTACTTATTTTCTTTTTTTTTTCTTGATCTATTTGTTTTATTTATTTTTTTTTTTTTTTATAGATAGAAAGCACTCTTAGGATTTCATATTTGTTCCGTGTTTGACTACGATCTCGTAGAGTCGAAAAGGGAATTGCTCGAGACGAATTGCCACGTTCAARAAAGATCATAAATTAAAAAAAAAAAATTATTTTTTGTTTGTTTAATAGAATAATATATAATCGAATTTCATATAAAACATTGTATCTTATCGAACGTGGCAAACAGTTCCGTGCAAAAGTTCTCCGCGTATATGGAGAATCCGAGGAATGCAAAAAAAGAAAAAAAAAAAAAGGGCGTGGAAGGTCTTCGAGAAAGAATTCTTGAAAAATAAAAAATATAATTAAAAAAAGAAAATAGAAAAAAAAGAACGGTCGTACTGATAGTCGCGATTTACGCTTGAAATTTACCTGCCTTCGCTTCTGGGAACTTAGTTCTCACTGCAAGAGCAAACGCTTCCACGTTTTGGGGTTGTCGCGATTAATGAAACGAAAAAAAGGAAAATTAAAATTAAAAAGATGGAGGACTCTCATGCTAAAGTCCCTTTCCTCTCCTCATTCAGGCTGTTATTTTCTTTTTTCTTTATTATTTTTTTTTTTTTTTTTAATAAATATTTGGCAACTCGCGTTATACGTATCAAAAAAAAAACGTATAATGTGTAACGTCACATCGAAGAATGAGGTAGAGGAAACGGAGGGAAGCTAAGCTTACAAATTTGAGAAAGAGTTAAAAATTAAATGAAAGAAGGAAGGGAAGGAAATGAAAGAAAAGGAGCGACAGCGACCGGGACGCGGAATAAAAAACGAGAAAAAAAAAGAAAGAGAAAATAAAATTGGGAGCGAAGGTGGGAGATTAGCGTTCTAATCAGTTTTACCTGGATATGTTTCCGGGTGTGTTTTCACAGGCGACGAATCCGTACCTGACCGGTATGCCGCAGGTGGGCAACGCGTACAGCCCGTACTTCGCGCCCAGCCCGATAATGCCGGCGATAATGGGGCCTGCAGACCCAACGGGAGTCGGCAGCCCACTCGGCGTAGTCCCGCAGACGGTTGCGATGCCGCAGAAGATGCCACGTACAGACCGCTTCGAGGTATGTCAACCACCTAACTACATTCAGCAACAACAACAACAACAGCAACAACAACAACAACAACAACAACAGCATGGGGCCCAACACGGCGCAGCCGGGGCCTCAAGGTGCCCAATGGCCGCGCCCAATACCGTGTACCAAGTGCCGGCCGGTCCCCCCAATCAGGTGTCGCCCGTATCCACGATGCAATCTGTCAATCACCCACCTTCCCCGACCGCGACCATCACCACCGCGACCACCTCCATCTGCACGCCTCTACATAATCCTCACGCCCATCACCACGCGATCCACAACATCGTCTACGTTCATGCCTATTATTAGTCGACTTTTTCTCTCTCTCTCTCTCTCTCTCTTACAAACAACAACAACGACAAAACAACAACTACAACAACAGCAACAACAACAACAACAATAATAACCCTTTTTGTCCTAATTATGGAACAAACTGAAACTCTCCTATATTATCCTTTCACAATTATTCACCTTATATCTACTATCCTTTTCTCTCTCTCTCTCTCTCTCTCTCTCTTACTCTATTTCTCTTTCACTATTTCTCTTACTATATATTTTATCTATCTATCTATTTCTACATCTTTCTCATCCAACGGTATCACAAATACTCCACTATTCAACAATCCAAACATCCCTTTATTTGATTCGCGAAACCTTCCAATATCGATCGATACAACCAACACTTTTTTGTCTAATAATTTGTCTATGTACTATCTTGAAATGTACTAAAATTCTATTTGCATCGAACGTTTATTAAATCCTACTAACGTTGTTGTTCATCCGAGATCATCGATCGTAATGAATTGAAGACCAGTCTCCCCGATTCATATTTTTAATTGCACAACGAAAGGATAATATAGTCGAGAAAAAAAAAAAAGGAACAAACATTTTTTATGACTGACTATTTAAAAAAAAGGGTGATAATAATCGTCGCGTTTGATATTATATTATTCATAATTTTATTTTGTTGATGCAAATGAGTTGTGTTTAAGTAGATTTCGATCGATATTAGATTTTTTGCGATTATTGAAAACGCTATATATATCTGTCGTTGTTTCTTTTATTTTTTTTTTATTTTTTTTTTTTCTCTTATCATCCTTATACGAAAAATTAAAACAAAAAAAGGAAACGAAAAAGAATAGTAGAAAGAAAAAAAGAGAAATAAAAAAAGAAAAGAAGAAATAGCCTAGGCTGGAAATCGAAAAAGATCCTGGCATCACACATCAAACTCGCCTAGTTCATGATTTTTTTTTTATTTTTTTTTTTTTTACAGACGATCGAGGAATAACATTAACATCGGATGCCTAGCTTAGGAGATTGCAAAGTTCTTTATACATATATATATATATATGTTAAATAACGAGATGATATTTACATAAGTATAGGACATATAGTTTTTTTTCGTAAGATGACATACACGCGCAAGGGTATGTGTGTGTGTGTGCGAGAGAAAAGAGTTTTCGAATGAAAAGGGAGGTATAACTTGAAAAAAGGGCGCGCGTTTCGGAATATAATAAAGGAGAAAAGGAAAAAGTAAAAAGGAAAAAGAGAGAAGAAAAAAAATAAGAAAAAAAAAGAAAACACGAGAAAAGAAAGAACGGAAGTCGTGCTCAGCGAAAAGAAGATAAGACGGAGAGAAATCGAAGAGGGCGATTTGTCTCTCTGAAGATACATATATATAGATATATATGTGTTGACTATATGTGTATATGTGTGTATCCGATTCTATTGAGAAAAACGCTCCTGTAGATCGAATATCCGCTGACTTGGTCATTCTAAGCCGAGTACAAAAAGAAATAAAATAAAATAAAATGAAATAAAATAAAATAAAATAGAAAAGAAAAGAAAAAAGGGAGAAAAAATAATCATATATACATATTTTATCGTATGTATCATGTGTATGTACTATACGGAGTACAATTATTATATTTCAGCAACTAGAGAAAACACTAACGTTTTGAAAGTTTTCTCGCGTAGATTTTGAAAAAATAAAAGAAAAGAATATTAGCAGATACGAGAAAGAAACGAAAGATAAAAGAAAATAATTGCATTTTTGAAGATAGTTATTTAGATGATCTTATTAGACGAATCGTGCAAGCTAAAGAGAAGAGAAATGATAAACTACACAAAGAGGTCTTATGAATTTTCTTAAAAATTGTAAATTGACAAGGAGTTTATAAGTCTAATAATGAAATAAATTGCAACGACAAAACAGTGATGATAATTATTATTGATTACGATTTTTAAATATATATATATATATATTAATATTATTATTATTATAATTATTATGAATCTATTATCTTTCATTAGTATGATTATAATTATATTGTGGGTCAAGATAAATTAGATTTATTAACGCGAATATATATATGAAATTTTTTTACATAATTATTATTATTATTATTATTATTATTATTATTATTATTATCATCGTCGAGTCTTAGTAGTTTAATAAAAGAAGTAATTTAAAGTACATAAATAAATGGTAAAAGTAGAAGTAGAGGAATTGAGAATCGTGCAATGAAAAATTAATATAAAATAAAATTTAAAAATATAAATCTAAATTAAAAAATTTTCTGTAGAATGACCGATCTTTACTCTCGTTGAGAAATTGTGTTCTACTTTGATCTCATTTTTCGAAATTTATTTATTTCGGTGATATTATAGTATATACTCTTAGTTGTATAAATTGTGATTTTTATTGGCGTTTTGTAGAATAAATTATAACGATCGGTTAATCTTGGAATTGGGCATAAGTAAAAAAACAAAAAAAAATAAAAAACATAAAAGTGAGAATTCTTCTGCTCCTGCTGACAATGCCAGTTCCTTAAATAATTAAAATCGTATTATTGCATATAAATAAATATATATATATATAATATTTTAGACGTTACGGAAAAAAAAATATTTAAAATATAATAAATAATACTAATACGAAACTAAACGTAGATTGACGTGTAAGCGTAAACAAAAAAAAAACATTAATTAATTAATTATCGTATCTCTCTTAAAAAGTAACAAAAAGAAAAAAAAGAACAAAATGGGAAAAAAAAAATGAAAAAAGAAACGATACGAAAAATGTGACGAATATAAAATAACGAAGAAAATAAAAGGAAAAAAGTTCGTATAAGTGAAAAAAAAAAAAAAACAACAATTTTATTAGAAATGGCGAGAATAATAATTGTAAATGACAAATTAGGATTGAACTCGGCAAAAATTGAATTTTCAACGAAAAAAAAGTAACGGGATATTACACGATAAAAAGAAGAAGGAAATATATTAAACAATAACCTTCGATTCGATGGGAAAAACGTTGTCCGATGAGTTATTCGAAATATACGAGGTGGGGTAAATTTTTTTTTTGTTTCTTTTTATATTTTTGTTCACAGTAGTAAAGAAGGAGGGAGGTGAGGGGTGGGTATTCTTTATCGGACCATATCCGCGACCATTCCGGGTAAAAACTTTTGTATCCGCATACACATTGCAAGTTTTATAATGTTCGAGTTTACAGATTTCCCCGGAGCCTCTATCGCTTCTTCCTTTTTTTTCTTTTCATTTTCTTTTTCTTCTTTGCCTCGCGGCTTTTGCAGAATTAACAAGTTTCGTACGGGGTAGTTTCGCGAAGAACGAATAAAATCAAGGGAACAGCGAAGGAAGAGGGCATGCAACCCAGTAAAGGAAAGAAGATGTTGGGAAGGGTTTTGTGGGTGGTATATATATATATATATATATAAGTATTCTATCGGTTCGGAAAACTCTTCTAGATGGTTACACATTTAGCGAGTAAAAAAAATAGAAAGAGAATGAACAGCATGGTTTTTGTGCGCAGGAGGTTTGAAGGAGGTGCTAAAAATGTGTGAATAGTCGTGAGAAAAAAAAAAATCTTCGAAGAAAAACGAATAAATTGGAGATCGTTTTTTCCATTGGTTTTTCACACATTGGCACGAGAAAAATGAATAATATAGAAACAAATAATATAGGGGATGATAGGGATAAAAGAGAGGAGAAAAGTGTGTAAACAACACATCGAATTATAATGCACGAGATCGAATGAAAGAATAATTATTCGAATTTTTAATATTATTATCATCATCGATAACACGGTATAGGTTTTTTCATTTTATTTTATTTCATTTTCTTGATCAACTTTTCGTTTATATATTCGCAATTATCATCGTCCACGCGTATTATTAAATGCACGATTATTATATTCTACGTCACATTGTGTCTCGTATAAATTATATTTTATCACGAAATTTTATGTATTTAATAATCTAAATAAGTGAGAAACTCTTTGATAATCCTCTATTTATTATTATTATGATTATTATTATTATATATATACGAATTGTTGCACATTTTTACAAAGGGAGAGGAGAGGAGAAAAAAAAGAAAAAGAAAAAATAAATAAAGAACTAATGCAGGATTTTTTAATAAATACCATCAAGTTTGTGTATGTATGTACGCGGGATTTGAAACGCAGGACGACGCACATTTAAAAAAAAAAGAAAAAGGAAAAGAAAAAGATAAAAGGTTCGTGCGCCTGTCGTCCATCCATGCATGCGCACATAGTGATATATATATATATGTGTACATAGTAGGTAGGATTAACAAATTAATTAATTGTATTTTGTATCGCGAAAAGAAATACCACTACTACTACTACTACTACTCCCCTGATATAGGGAAGAAAAAAATGAAAGAAAAGGAGTGACAAAAAGGAAAAAAAAAACGTAAGAAAGAAAAGAAAAATTAAAAAAAAAAAAATGGCACACGCTCTCACACACACACACATATATATATACATATATAGATAGTTAGACACACACACGGTTGAAGGAAATAGTAATAAAAATTACAACAATAAAAGAATACAAGTAATTAATAAATTGTCGAAGTATTATAAATATATTTAAAGATCAAGTTTCCCCCAAAGAGAGGAGAGACACATTTTAAAAATTTTTTAATTGACATTCTTCTGTTAA